ATGGGAACTGCAACAGTGGCAGGATTGACAAGTATTTGGGAATGATGGGACTGTAGATTTATATATGCTGGGTAATCTCTGGATCTGTCTCCAGCAAGCTATACATTTTCTGGTGTACAGTAGTACTGTCTTACCCCCCTCCATAGTGTCCATAGATTAGCCAGTTTGAAATCTATTCCACAATGTTCTGTTGGATGTAGGGGCTCAAGAAATCAGTGGATGCCTCAAGTTTCAAAAACTTTACAGTGCAAGCTACAATTCTCACCTGAAGGGAGAGAGACGACTGGTCTACTGGGGGAGTACTGAGCAAACCCTGTCCCCAAACTGGAGGAGCCTCTCCTTCTTGAGGAAGGCGGAGTCACAGGCACAGGGTGTGGATCACCCGCTGGAATCCAAAAAAACAGAATTATGAAAAATTAAATAAACGTGTATACATGTAGTGCTACCCTCTAGAGGCCTGCTGGATTTTATTTGCCCCCCCCCCCCCAGCTCTGCACACCCAGGCATAATGCATTTCACACTTGCAGTCAGTCCTTGAGCTGGTTTTTAGTTTGAGTGGTTAAGAACCTGGATAGGAGAATCAATGTCCACTTTGTGTATCTCGAACCCCAGATGATACCTCTTCACCCAGCTGCACCGAGGGTATTCTTGGGCAAGAGATGCCTAGATCTTTCAATTAAGTAGTACTTGGAGTCTGATGGGTTGGTGGCTGCTCTCAGGCCTTACACCTTGCCTTCTGCACAAGATGTCCTCCATAAGAGGCCTTAGGCATTGGAGATTCTTTCCAGCAGCCTGCCGGTAGGTAGGCTCCACACTCCAACTTCCACCTGACTCCCCTGCTGCTCGGGCTCCGGCACATTTAAGGTTTGCCCTTAGTCACCATGCTCTGCCTCCTGCCTGGGGATTGGCCATGTTCCCTTAGACCTGCAGATCTGGGCCTCCTACCCTCTTCGAGAAGGTTCCCTGGTTTCTGGAAAGGTGGAAGGGCTTCAGAAGCCTTGACCTGTAGAGCCTCCCAGCCTGTCCTGAGGTGAACTCACTACTTCACTCTCAGACCAACTCATTGCAGATTGCTACCCAGCTTCTGGCTAACAAAAAGCCTACCAAACTAAGCAAGAGGGCATTACATATACCAGTCACACAGAACAGAACATGACTAACGGTTACAATGCATCTGAAAGCCAACAGGGTATATTAGGTAGCAGATCATGTCCCTGAAGTTTTGTGGAAAGCAGAGGGAAAAAAAAAAAAAACCAATCTATGGAGGCCCAACCTCAGCTTACAGGACGTAAAGGATTTGCTACTGACAGCTTGGTGCCAGCATACCTTCAGAGGTCCAATGGAGTCCATGCTTTCCTAGCATTGGGTTAGAGAGGGTTGCTAGCAGTGAGATACTCAATTGCTAGCAGAGGCATATGAATTAGAAAAATAAGAGATGAAATTGAAGTTATGTTCTGCAGTGGTATTAGCTACAAATACACTCATGGAGAAAAAAAAAAAAAAAAAAAAAAAAAAAAAAAAAAAAAAAAAAAAGATTAAAAACCAGTACAAAGGCAAGTACAAAAGCTGGAGCTCTGTTGCCACCCAATGGTAAAAATGAAGTATAGCCAAACATTAGACAAGCAGCGATCTATTGCTTACAGGGTGCGATTCTTCTGTTACCAACAAAGATCACAGGAAAAAAACCCAACTGTTCTTACCACACACAAAGCTGCCATGCGGGAGCTCGGCCCCAAGTTTCCGCAGACAGAAGGGGCTATCCGGAGATTCCTGCATTGGTTCCAGCCATGGATGGGACTCTTCCAGGACCTCGATCAGTTTCCTGCGGCGGCGGAAATTAATACCAAACTGGAACACTCGATCAGAGTCTGAGAAGTGATAGTGACCATTCACTGCAGAAAAAGAAATCCATGATTCAATAAGTGCAAGCAGACATCTTCTAATCAAAGAACTGTCAAATGTGGTCACCTATGACAGCCAGCCAACCAACTTTCATTGTCTGCTGCCCGATACCAGAGAAATAATGTGCCGTTATAGAGGGGTAGGGGGGAAAAAAAAAAAAAAAAAAAAAAAAAAAAAAAAAAAAAAAAAAAAAAAAAAAGCTTAGTCAGCTCCCACAATATCCTTTAGCGGAAACCATGTGACCAAAGATCTTGACACCTGACCTCAAGACCTACCAACAGAGGGAGCACATGTACCCCAGTATTATTCTGGATTCTTAATCCCCTTACATTATAGTCAGGGGTGGACTGACAACTCATGGGGCCCCCCCCCAGCAATAGGGGATCATGGGGCCCGTGTCCTTGCCCAAACTCAAAAAAGCCTATGAAAAAGGTACCAGGGGCATCTCATGGGGCCCCATACTGACCCCCAGGCAGTGCCTGAGTTTCCAAATGGTCAGTCCACCCCTGATTAAAGTCTATACTAATAGAACAGTCACTTTACATTTAATCAGGTAGGACTGTGCACTAGAGTGAGCAGTAAGTCTACAGACGATTGTACATTGAGATAGCACCATGTGTGGCCAGCTTGAATTGCAGACTTGAATACTGGAACGTACCAGGCTGAATGATCCCTAGTTCCACCATGCCACGGCACTGCTCTAATCCAGCACTTCTCTTAGCCACCATGTTAAAATTTTTTGCAAACAATCCAACAGTTGGGAGCCAATAAACGTCCTTCTGTACCGCTTTGAGCCTTCTTCCCGAACCTTAAGAATACAATCCTCCTGGCTCATCAACCTGGGGAAAGCAGGGGCAATAGTAAGACAATAGTGAGTGGTGGGGTAACTTTTGGCTCTCCAGGGGAACTTAACAGTGTGTTACCCTTCCTACCCATCCTCCCTCCAGGAGGGACCCTTTTGCATTCCTCCCCCACTCCAGAGGGAAGAGGCACCCTTGCCTCCCAAATCCCTCCCCCCACTCCAGAGGAAAGAGGCACCCTTTGTCATCCTCCACTGCGCCCCCCCAATAGGCATCAGTTGACCAGCCAGACTAGAAATACAGATTCCTCCCCCCTGCACACAATCTTTCCTGTGAGATCCCTGGTTCTCTCAACTCCCCCCCATGAGGGGGTTTGAACATTAGACAGCCATCCATGGTTCTGAAAGAAGGGGGCGGTTTAGCACCAAGAATACCCCATGCTAGCGACTAGTAGCCGCCACCCCAGCTGCACATCAGCTATCACAGGAAAGCAGAATCATGGCCACCTCGATGGCCTTGATTGACCAGTCAACATCTGGGAGACGAGAAATTTGGAGCCCTTCTGGCACACAAGAACGGATTCTTCCTGGTGACAATATTTAGTCTCCTACATGAAGAATGACAACGCTCACCAAACCACAGACTACTGCAGACAGCAGTGACCCCGACAAGCGCTCTAACCCTTCCTTACTCCAGTATTAAAAGCCCAACTTGGGATCCAAGCTTCCATCCAGAGGCGGAGCATCTTTCCACCTGGAAAACTAGAGGGCATCTTGTGGCAGAGAAGAGGTACTACAGAAGCAAGGGGGACCCTTTTATTAAAAAATCCTCAAGCTGAGCTTTTATACATCATAGAAAGAAGCTCTACACCAAGGGACTTTCAGCTCTGCACAAGGAGCACCGTCATTGAGATGGAGGCAGAGACACTGTTGACCCCCCAAGATCTCACATTAGCTCCTCCCCCAGTGAAGGAAAGAGTTTTACATGAAGTTTCCCTTTTTTAGTTAGGCACTCACATCTCGTAGATCCGCTGGCCTCGGGTCATAATCCTCATCTCTGTGGTAGGCATCAAAGTGCCGTCATCATTTCGGAAGCGGTACAACAATTTGGCATCTTTAAAGGTGGAGTATTGGTCACAGACTGTCAGGAAGAAGTGAAAGCTACATGAACGAACAAAAAAAAAAAAAAACCCGACAGGGCAAAGCACGCAAGGCAGGAATGGCAGCCAGCCAACCAGAAATATAAATCTGATAAGACAGGAAGCTCAGGCTGACTCCACCATACAACCCAATTGTATAGATTAGACCGACCATCAAGGTAGTACAAACATCTGCCTTACTGGCTAGTTCAGCCTGTCACACAATGTTTTACCGCAGAGGATCCCCTAAAATTGAAGCCTTGGGGAACCCAAGCTAAAAAAACAATGTCCAATGGGGAGAAAAAAAAAAAACCCCCACACACTTCTAACATTGGTGTTCATGGTCAATAGGAAGACTGCAACCTTAACTCATTTACACTTGCTTTGACTTAAATGCACATTAAAGCACCTACCACTTCAACATGCTTTCTTGAAGCTTGGCAAAATGTGTGTGAAAAGGGGCCCAGTAGAACCCCAACTCAGTAGTATCCCTACTCAGATCTCCTCCCTACTCAGTAGCAACCCCCAGCTCTGCTGATCAACACACTAGCAACCCCTAGCTCTGCTGATCCGCCAGTTTGCCGATCCTCCTCCCTAGTCCCTGCTCACATGCTGAACGCCACATGTGACATTGCTAGTTTCTCCTGCTCCGGTCCCTCAGCTCAGCTGATCCTCTGCCACTCCACCCTCAGCTGCCCTTCTTGTATAGCATTCCCATGTTGCACACCAATTGTGCCAACTGCTACTTTCTCCACTCCAGACCCCACTCGCCAGATGAGTCCCAGAATATATACACAGGAACAGGTAGTGACTGAGGATGTCTTTCCTGATTGCTTACTGGTTTCCGAATCAGGGGTGGACTAACTCATGAGGCCCCCGGGCAATAGGGGATCATGGGGTTCATGTCCTCACCCAAAAAAGTCTAGGAAAGATACTAAGGGCATCTCATGGGGCCCCCTACTGGCCCTGGGCCCTCAGGCAGTGCCCGGTCAGTCCGCCCCTGTTCCCAGTGCATGCTGGGATCCTATACCTCAATATAAAACATCAAAATCTGCAGGTACTGCTAGTGAGCTTTGTCAGACTTCTATAGAGGCTCTGGAGAGGTTTTGAAGCACCAAGGGATATGGGGTATAGTTTATGGTAGGTTACCACCCTTACAGGCAGCCATAAGATGAGTGGTGTCCAGGGGTGGACTGACAACTCATGGGACCCCCGGGAAATAGGGGATCATGGGGCCCCCTGTGTCCTTGCCCAAACTCAAAAAAGCCTATGAAAAATGTACCAGGGGCATCTCATGGGGCCTCCTACTGACCCCGGGCCCTCGGGCAGTGCCAGAGTTTCCAAATGGTTAGTCCGCCCCTGGTGGTGTCACACTGATGGCTTGGTCATGCAGCATTGGCCCTATAGCTATGCAGGCACCATAAAATGAGCCCTTAATCAGCTAAAGCCAACAGAAGCCCTTGTAAGCTCCAGAGGAACCCTAGGCTTCCTTGGATGCCTGGTTGAGAATGGCTGGGCTAGTTTATGCAGGTCCTTATTTAACAGGAGGTGGTAAATCTAAAGTTGATTATACAATCAAGGATGTCATGGGGGGAGAAAAAAAAAAAAAAAAAAAACCCACAATCTTCCAATGGGACAAAAATTTTTTAGTAGAGCGAGGAAGGGTCTGTGTCTTCCTGTCCCAGCAATGACCACTCAGTATCTCTTTTATGGGTGTCAAGGAGGGAGAGGCTCCCCAAACAGGGCTACAGCCAAAAACAAGTAAAAACAAAACATCAACTCTCCTCCAATCTATTCAAAACTAAAATTAGTTTTGGCTGGAGTTAGGTCTGCAGGCAGGACACATGTAGCAGACATTGGAGAAACCTTTGGCCTGATCTGGGCCCACCTCACCAGAAAAATCCACTGCTGAGTCCTTTAAAGTAGTATCTGCTTCTCTTAGGACTGGACTGACTTGCTCTTGAAGTCGAATGGAGGGGTTAGAAGAACATAGTCTGCAGTGTTCTAAATCAGAGCTTACCAACAATTCAAGGTTTTGGCTTTATAAACTAAAGCAGAAGACCCACCGTGATGAATGATGTTGGCGTCCATGAACTTCTGCATTATACGGATGGCAGTAACTCTGTCCGGAGCGTCCCTGAACGCGATAAGCCAATCGATAAGATCATTTGCGATAAAGGTGCTTGGGTATGTGAACGTGTTCCGGCATCTGTCTCGTATCTGTTTTGAATTGTGCAGACGCAGCCTACAATACACAAGAGCCCTAGTTAAAACTACACAGATCCCCACCAGCACACAGACAGCGCTACAGGGCCACCACAGTTCCCCACCAGCACGCGGACAAGCGCCACCACAGTTCCCCACCAGCACGCGGGACAAGCGCCACCACAGTTCCCCACCAGCACGCGGACAAGCGCCACCACAGTTCCCCACCAGCACGCGGACAAGCGCCACCGGGCCTCCACAGTTCCCCACCAAACACATGGACAGTATTATAGGACCTTCGAGACAATTTTAGGCCCCCCATATACACTTATGGGCAATAAACACAAGTTTGAGTTGTGTTTTTGAATCAAACCCCAACCACTCAGTGCAGAGGCAGCAGATGGAGTACATATGCCGAGGCCAATGCTTTACGCTGCAAAAAAAAAAAAAAAAAAAAAACCACCCCAAACTTTCCCTTAGGGTCATCATTACCACCCACCGAACATAACAAATATAATTGAATAGGGGTGCTCCACAACCATCCAGCAGTTACATGCAATCCACAAGGATGTGTCACACTAGTGCAGGTTTAAGGGGTAAAAAGAAAAAACCATCCTCATCAATCTGTTTAATGCCCTCTTAAGAGCAATCCCACAAAGATCACTCTTCAGATCCCCACTAAAATATGAACAATGGTCTAAGACCTCCACAAATCCTCACCAACACATGGACAGCATTATAGAGCCTTCATAGATCCACCCCACCACATAGGGTGGATCTGCTTGGGGTTTTCTGACACTGTCCACCACATAGAGATATAGACCCCAAGCAGATCCAACCCACCACATGGACTGTGTTATAGGGCCTGCTGGACACAAGTTCCACACGGGCAGAGCTGTCCATACATACATGTGAAATAAGAAGACTAATAAACTCAGTATGGCCCTCATCACACATGTGGGCCATTTATCTTCCATCAACAAGTTCTATGGAAAAAGCAGATCAATTTATATCCGCATCAATTTTTTTAAATGGATCAAAGCCCTAAATTTGCTCAAAAAAAAAAAAAAAAAAAAAAAAAAAAAAAAGGGAGGGTCCAACAATCCATTTTTCATTGGTAGCAGATTCAGAAAACTTAACCAGGTTTCTTTGTGTGTGTATATATATATATATATATATAAAAATTATTTTTTTTTAACATACACACATATATATATGCACTGAACTAATGAAACAAACAGTCCACACATATAAAAGGAAGACACAGAGAAGCTCAGTCCCACACTCCTGCCCTCACCTGAGCTGCTCTCCAGCCAGGACAACCTCTGCCTCCTTCCGGAAGTTCTCCGCTTTTTTCTCCATACTAGGGCTCAGCAACTCCATCCCTAGCGAATCCATCTCTCCCAACTCCAACTCAGCTTCCCCAAGCAAGCCTGCACCAGCCATTAGTAACACTCCACCTCCTTCTAGTTGCTCCACCAACAACTAGCAACACTCCACCTTCTTCTAGTTGCTCCTATCAACTGATCCACTCCCCTCCCAAAATTAGCTCCCCCCCCCCAGAGACCTGTGTGCACCAGCTGAAGCTGGGATCCAATGGAATCCCAATCAAGAACATTATCTTTAACATGTTCATGTCATGTCAGAAGTCATTTTCAAATCTTCAGCTTTCACTAAAATAATCCTTGGTGGTCCTGCCATGAAGATCCTTGCACTTCCTGTTATAGGGTGACAACGCTTTGTCCCTCTCTTGCAATGGCACTCCTGTGTTGTCACCCCATCACATAGGCTTCCCATGGAGACTACGAATGGTTGATTTGATGCACATTATACAGTTGTCTCCATGAGGAACACCATGAAGCCATCATTGGAGGCCAGCACCCCCATGAATGGGTGCTTAAATTGGAAGTAAAGTTAGGAATACTTACCTGAAATCCTACAGTCCAGAGCCCATGAGGGACTCCTGATTGGACAGTATGGGATGACGTCACTCCTGAAGAGCAGGGGCGGACTGACCATTTGGAAACTCAGGCACTGCCCAAGGCCCGGGGTCAGTAGGGGGCCCCATGAGATGCCCCTGGTACCTTTTTCATAGGCTTTTTTGAGTTTGGGCAAGGACACAGGGGCCCCATGATCCTCTATTGCCCGGGGGCCCCATGAGTTGTCAGTCCGCCCCTGCTGAAGAGCAATCCACCATTGTTTACTTTTCAGAGGGCAGTAAGCACTGAAGCGTGTCTGAAAGAGACCTAAAGAAGACAATGGTATAGCATATAGGTCAACTTTTCAGTTAGTAGTGACACACGGGGGCTAAAATTCCAACCTTTGTACATGTATATGGAGAGTAGAGGTAATAAAATGTTCTGACCAGGGGTGGGCTGACCATTTGGAAAATCGGGCACTGCCCGAGGGCCCGGGGTCAGTAGGGGGCCACATGAGATGCCCCTGGTACCTTTTTTCATAGGCTTTTTTGAGTTTGGGCAAGGACACAGGGGCCCCATGATCCCCTATTGCCCGGGGGCCCCATGAGTTGTCAGTCCGCCCCTGGCATGGACATAGAGTTTTTTTCTTAGATCTTTCTAAAAAAAAAAAAAAGAAGATGTATGGCCAGCCTTACCCCCAGGTTCACACCTAAGCGTTTTCTGCAGCGTTTTGCAGAAACGCAGTACAGTCCATTTCCTATGGGACACGTTCACATCTACGTGTTTTCACCCAGTGCGTTTTTTGGAAAGGGTCGGGGACTTTTTTAATGCAAAACGTTGCATTTTTTTTGTTCTTTTTTGTTGTTTTTTTTGAAAAAACAAAAACGCATCAAAAACGCAGGTGCAAAAACACAAAACGCAATGCAGAAATGACACAAACACAACTTGCGTAGGTGTGAACCTAGTCTGAGGGTTCCAGTCCCGACAAATGGCATTGCAATGATCGGCACCTAGAGCAAGTGCGTGGGGGTAGACTGCGTGCTTTAACTGCAACGCACACGTGTCAACGAGCCCTTTTGGTTTACATGCTCAGAACGTTTTGATCTCCTACAGGGGACAAGGCTTGGAATCGCCCAGTTGCTGATCTAGTGGAAATGATAGGATAGCCAGGGATTTGGGGGGACCCAGGGGTAGGGGGTCACTCAATTTGAGAAGTCCATGTGCATGGAGCGCTAAACATTTCAAGAGTCATTCACAAATGACAATAGGTAAATGGGATCCACCAACGCGTTTCGGAAGCCAGAAGATCCGGCTTCATCAGGACTGTAAATGGATTCGGGAAGAAAGCTCCTAGGAATGGCAATCTAAATCAGGTGTTTTTTCTGTGAGTGGTCATGCCTGTGTCAGCGGAAGAGTAGTTACTGCCCAGCCCATTGGACACAGTGGGGGGAGATTTACTAAAACTGGAGAGTGTAAAATCTGGTGCAGCTGTGCATGGGAGCCAATCAGCTTCTTACTTCAGCTTATTCTATTAGGGTCCTTTCCCACAGGCGTTCAGTTTTTTTCCATCAGTGCAGTCACGGTTTTTCAAAGAACAGATGAAAAACACGGATGGAAACGGATCTAAATGGATGAAAGAGGGATGTAAACCAATGTAAATAGATGAAAAACTGATATATAAACGGATGAAAAAAGAGGTGAAAAAAATGGATGTAAAGGGATGAAAAAGGATGTAAAATAATGTAAATAGATGAAAAACTGATGTAAACAGATGAAAAATGGATGAAAAAACAGATGAAAAACACAGATGTAAACGGATCTAAACAGATGAAAAAGGGATGTAAACCAATGTAAATAGATGAAAAACGGATGTAAACGGATGAAAAATGGATGAAAAAACAGATGAAATAAACGGATATAAACTGAAAAAAAAACAGATAAAAACACGGATGTAAATGGATCTAAACAGATGAAAAAGGGATGTAAACCAATGTAAATAGATGAAAAACGGATGTAAACAGATGAAAAAACAGATGAAATAAATGGATGTAAATGGAAGAAAAAACAAATGAAAAACACAGATGTAAACGGATCTAAGCAGATGAAAAAGGGATGTAAACCAATGTAAATAGATGAAAAACAGATGTGAACGGATGAAAAATGGATGAAAAAACAGATTAAATAAACAGATGTAAACAGAAGAAAAAACAGATGAAAAACACAGATGTAAACGGATCTAAACGGATGAAAAAGGGAT